GTGTGTTTGCATTTAATGTATTTTCTTATAAACTAGATATAATTATTTTTTTAGACTGTATGGTAATATTTTTATTTTATTAGCAGTGTTTACTGTATCTGTAATTACTGATGCAGTTGGGTTCAAATCTAACAACTTGATACTTGTTTTCACTTCATACCTTAAATTCTTATTTCTTTATTTCTATGCTTTTTCTATCTTCCTTTGTATTAATCAAAGTATTTAATGTATTAATCAAGTTTTGTAATTATTTTATTTATGTTTTTCATTATTTTACCTATTTTTATTATTCTATTATCTCTTTATGACATTCAATATAGTTTTTAATATTATAATTTACTTACTTTAATATTTTGATCATATCCTAAATAATCCAAGATTCTTTTAATTATTTAACTCCATTTAATGGCTTTCTATATATTTTTGATATTGTCCTATATTTTATTTCTAAATATGTTATAAACCTCACAAGATGTTATTGGTGCTTTAAATAGGCAAAAGTCTCTTATATTTACCTATATATTTACCCTTTAAAATGCTATTTATTCCTTTTTGCACTTCCATATAAGATCATTTTATTCAATTTTGGAATTTCCTTTCATAATTTTTATAGTGTGAGACTATATTTTATGCAGTTTATACTTGTTTGCAGTGCAAGGTTAAGTCTGATATCAACTACTTGGTCATACTGTGCAGAAATAACAGTTTCCATTCTTTTTGTTTTTAATTTCTAATTTGACTTATCTCTTCACCATTTTAAAAATCAACATTATGGAGGTATAATGTACATACACTAAAATGCATCTATTTTAAGCTCAGTGTGATGTGTTTTGGCAAATGTTACCTACCCCTGCACTCAAGATAAAAACAAAACAAAACAAAACAAAACAAAAAACACTATTACCATAATAGAATCCCTCTGTATCTTCTCATTTATTCCCTTACTACCTCTCCCTTCCCCTCTCCTTCCTCTGGTAACCCCTAAACTGTTGTCTATGTCATTTTTCTATTGGTTGTTTACATGTTACCTTTGTAAAGTATATGACCAAATCTTTTGCCTATTTGTCATTGGGTTATTTGTTTTTGATTATTGACTTATAGGATACCTTTACATATTGTGGATGCAAGTTTTTTATTGGATTTATGCATCACAAATATTTGCAACCCGAGTGTGCCTTGCTTATTTATGTCCTTAATATTATTAGAAGAGCACAATTTTTAATTTTAGTAAAATTCAATTTCCAATTTATTTTAATAATATGCCTTTTTTTTCTTTTGTAAGAAATGTATACCTACTCCATATTTATGAAAGTTTTCCCTACTTTCTTCCCTACAGATTGAATAGTTTCGCTTTTACATTTAGTCAATAGGCCAATTTAAATTACTTTTTGTATATAGAGTGAGGTAATAGTCAAAGTTCAGTTTTTACTGCCAGATAGTCAGTTTTTTCAGCGTCATTTGTGGAATGCCCTTTGGCATTTCAATTAAAAACCAACTGACTGATATGCTTGGGTCTGGACTCCATATTCTGCTTTATTAATCTCTATGTCAATACTTATGCCAATTAAGTACACTCTCGATTTCTATGATTTACAATACTTATCACAATTTTTATGCACACAGGTTGTATGTTTCTGTGCCTTCTATGTATTCTATGTGCTTACTTGTATATCTTCATCCCCAAAGTGCTGCAATTGCCCCTTTGTTATTCAGGTTAATGCTTTGACATCTCATCTTCTTCTAATCTCTTTCAAATATCTCTTAGATGCTATTTATATTTAATCTTTGTAGTTCAATAACATTAAGTAACTGAAAGAGCAACAGTTTTGGCCCTTTCCTCTTTTGGTATTTTCCAGGACCATACCATTAAGAAGTAACTGCTTTTATAAATACTTTCTCTGGGCCTTTTTAAGTGTACAATCTCCATAAATGTCTTTGGGTGTTACTGTGAATTAATTATACGATGCTCAATAATAGATTTGTGTAAATCACCTGAAGACTTCTAGTTTGGGCTTACCGTATAGATATAGGAAGGGTGGTGTTTCCCCTTTACTAATCTGGTCCCTTTATGCTACTCATTAGGAGAAGTGTCCTTCTCCATGTTTAGGAAATGGTGTTTAACAGCCAGCACAAACCAAATAATGCAGTGACCAGTCCTTTTGCTAACTTAACTTAGTAGATTTTACCAGCCTTGTCTCCTAAGATACACTGTCAACCAGGTAATTTTACTTGAAACTTTCCCAGGTACTTAACCCAAACATTCCTAAAGTTAGACTCCTTATTTTATCCCCAAAACATACCCTTCTTACTTTCTCTGTTTGATGAGTTATAACTACCAAAGCAAAATAAACTTCTCCATCAACTTTACCTTGAATTAGCTACTATTTACCATTCATTGCACCACTCTCAAGTCCCACTGCTACTGCCTGAATGTGGATTTTCGCGTTTCTTTTATTCCCTTTTTTGATATGCAGTTCAAAAAGTTCTTTAGCTGAACTTTCTGCCCTAAAGCTTACCTTCCCATCTTCCATATTGTTACTAATTATATTTCTACAAATGCTGTCATATTATTCTTACACTGCTGTATTTCATTAACTCTCTCAAACTTGCAAAGTAAAAATCTTCTTCCTAGTGTTGTATACAAGTTCCTCTATGATTCAATCTAATTTTTATGACTTCTCTCCATATGCGCCCATGCTTCTTTTATGTTGGAACTACAAGCTCCTTGAAAAAGAGGTCTAAGTCTGTTTAATATTTGTATTCATAGTGTGTAGCCTATAATAGTCACTCAATATATATTGAATAGATAAATAGGTGGACTCAGGCAGGATAATCCTACCCTTTCTGAAGGAAGAAAAGAGAACATAAAAAATGCAAACAAAAAGTCAAACAAATATAACTCAAAGTTATTTTATCTAACCTCTAAAAAATAAAATACTAATATTTAAAAAGCTTTATTCAGTGGTCAATATTCATACTAATTAAAAAAGCATCACATGAAACGTCTTTATAGTCTTGGAACTATTTGATATCTTGACTATTGTAGTGGATATACAAATCTACACAGGTGTCAAAATTGTATAGTATTTCACACACATAAATGAGTAAGAGTAAACAGGAAATCTCAATAAGATCTGTGGATTATATCCATGTCAATATTCTGGTTGTAATATTATGCTGTAAATTTGCAAATTGTTACCATTGGGGAAAACTGAGTGGGGTATACAAGAGATCCTCTGTATTATTTCTTACAATTTTATGTGATTCTACAATTATTTCAATAAGAATTTCAATGAAAAAAAGACACCGATATTTACATTATATATTATAATTTAAAAAATAAATTACTTTCAACATGTTTTTTTTTAAAAAAAATACTTATTATAGTAATTTAAATCTTTCAGTGTATTTCCAAGTTGAAGCTAATCATAGATCTCTCCTTGGGTATCCATTACACTATCACAGTGTACCCTGGATGATGCTACGCTTGTTTTTCTCTCACCACCCAATGGCCTCTACGAAGGCAGAGACCTTGTTAGTTCTTTCTATGTATCAAAATATACCATGTGCCTTAATGATCATTAAGTGTCTTATAACATTTTACATAACTGTGATTTAATAAATAGTGTGATACTAAAAGAGATTGGAAAGAATCTAAGTAAACCTAAGAGCTAAGTATTTTTGGTCTTGTCCTCAGTTTTATTCTTTGCAAACTGAGAAGGGTTATATGATCATACCATTCTGGTTTATTGGACTGAACAGTAATAATTATCCTCCTTACATAGATCACTACCACAGTTTATATAGGTCATGCTTAGACAGTTAATACTGTTTTCCTCTCAGCATAGTTTCAAAACTTACTTAGGGCAAGATATGCCAAGAAAGGGATGTTCTGCTAATGACCTTTTGGAAGGCAGCTGCTGCAAGTCTGAGTAGTCTAAGATATGCCCTTCAGTTCGAATGGCTGCCTACCAGTTTTCTTTTTCTTCTTCTTGGTATACTAAGCAGCATTGACACTTATTGCACTAACAGGATACATGTGACATTTAAATTAAGCATTTATTTTTAGAAAAATTAATTTACACATTCATATTTGGACGACGGCTTGTGAGGTTCATGGTCAAAGCCTTAACTCCCTGATAGTGTCCAAAGTTTATTTTATATGTTTAAGCCAAACAAATGTTACTTGCAGACAGTATAATCACACAAGAAGACTGCCTAAGACCTGGTTGTAAAATTAGGAGATACTCTCAATACTTTTTGATGTTATATTTTTGTCTTTAAAATCATTTGCCTATATTTGTATATTTGTTATTTGTTTCCTGTTTACTTACAAAAATTTATAGTTGCTAAAAATAGAAGCTTTGCATTTAGGGTAAAAGACCAGGAGTTCTGTAAATATAGAAGGAAGATCTAGATAGATATACCAGCAACCAATACAATAAAACAGTGCATATAGAGCATAAGTAGACAAATGTTTGCATTCAAAAATCTTGGAGATCAAGGGGAAAAAAATTAAAGATTAACTTGTAAATATGAATAAAGCCATTCTTCTTGAGAATTAAACATCTTCTAATGTAAAATTTTCATCATATTATATTATATAATGAATTGTGAATATTATAAGTGATTTTTCAATATAGAGGTTTTAAAAATTGAAAGAGCTTTTTAAAAATCTTGATTTAAACTGCACAAAATAAAAAATAAGAGTATTATAGTGGATAGTAATTCTGTAAAACATTTATAAAAAGAATACAAGTAATCTACTTTTATGAAGATATACTTAATATAACATAAAAAGAAGACTAGGCCATTATCCTTCCTCTTAGATTATCACCATTAAATGACTGCTTAATCTGACATTCTGACAAGCACTGCATAGGAAAAATTAAAACTTTATTAGATTTTCATTAAAAAATTATGATTGGATAATTAAAGTATTCCTTAAAAATATAATGTTTATGCTGATGGTTTAATTTAATTATAAATAAAATAATAAGCTAGCCATTAATGACCTTTTTTGAATATTTACTCAGAGTCAGTACTGACTTACTTTTTAGCTTGAGCAGAGGTTTCTTCACTTCCTTGTTCCTCAGGGTATACACCACAGGGTTTAGAAGGGGGGTCAGCACCGTGTAGAAAACTGCCACAACCTCATCCACAGCATCCTTGGAACCCAGCCTCAGGTAAGTGAAAATAGCAGGGCCAAAGAAACAAAGGACGACAATGCAGTGGGAGGCACAGGTCTGAAAGGCTCTGTGTCTCCCCTCTGAGTTGCGGATCTTCAAGATGGAACAGACGATGGACACATAGGACAGCACTATCAGGAGAAAGCAGCCCGAGCCTACTATGCCAATGTTGACGAAGATCACCATCTCATTGACAGAAGTGCCTGCACAGGCCAGTTTGAGAATGGGCGGTGCATCGCAGAAGTAATGCTGGATCTGGCTGGGCCCACAGTAGGGCAAACAGAATGTCAATGAAGTCTGGACAGCAGAGTGCAGAGAGCCACTGAGCCACGTGCTTGTGGCCAAGAGGGCACACGTTCTCCCACGCATCATGCTGGTGTACCGGAGTGGGTAACTGATGGCCAGGTAGCGGTCATAGGACATGACTGTGTAGAGGAAACACTCGGTGCTCCCCAGGAAGTGGAAAGAGTAGAGCTGAGCCACACAACCATGAAAGGAGATAGTTCTGCCTCCTGGGGAGGCCAAGGTCATCAGCATTTTGGGCACAGTGACCGTGGAGAACCACATATAAATAAAGGACAGATTGGTCAGGAAGTAGTACATGGGCGTGTGGAGGTGGCAATTCACCATGATCACCAACAGGATGACTAGGTTCCCCATCACGGTGAGTACATAGATCACTAAGAAGATTCCAAAGGGGGGTGTCTAGCACTGGTACATGAGGAAGGCCCATGAGGAAAAATGTCACGTGGCTCACATTTGTCATTTCTTCTTATATGAGAGTCTCTCTCTACACAGGGAGGAAAACAAATCCAACATTTACTAGAAAATATTTTAAATGAAATATGGCAACTACATTTTGTCTGATGGAGGCTACAAGGGTTAAATTTTCCTATATTTTTTTCATAGCACTTTTGCTTTATCATGGTGCTTTTAGAAAAAGTAGTTGCTTCCTTATTACAGTAACAAAATTAACAAAATAGAAAAGAATTAGCCAAATAATGAAGAGGACTAATTCATATAAAAGCAGCCAAATAGAACAGAAGAATAAATGTTGTGTTCTGTTTTCAGTAGAATTAGAAAATATATATCCAGAGGTGGCAAATATGGCATGAACGATAGAGGCTTTGTTCATCTCTCTTGCAACCAAATCAAAGTTTTGACATAAACACGGAGCAAACAGCAAACAAAGTCACCTGAGATCTATACGAACAGAAGCACTGCAACTAGGGAGGGAAATAAGAAATCACCCTGCAATGATAGAGGGTAGGAGTGGGTTAAGACTAGAGGCTGCCCAGTCCCAAACGGCTGAGACAGAAGCTATGACAGCAGCAGCTGGCTGCTGCAGACACCTCTTAAAGGGGCCAAGCTGGCGAGTGGACTTTCCCAGTGATGAACCTACTCGCTCTAAGCACCAGCGCCAGGTTGGCTGCTCTGCGGGCACCAGGGACTTACGGAGGGACAAGGAGTTGTAGGAGTGAGGGCCAGAGGTGAGGCTCTCTCTCGGGCAGAAGCGATGACAGTATCCATTATTCCTCTGTTGAGCCCTCCCCCACTCCCAGTGTGTAGTTTAAGGGCCGCCATAGCTGAGACATCACCAGACTAGGTAACAGAGGTAGCTCAGCACAGAGAAAACCCTGAAACTCCACCTCCTCCAACTCATGGACCCACCCAAGTTACATCAGCTGTGCCCTCAATGAGGCGAGTCTGGTGCTCCTTGCAGAGCAGTGCCAAGACTCACACTGGTGGCAGCTGGCTTCAGTTTCAGCATGGCAACTATAAGCATAGCATCTATGGATTGCTTGCTGAATCTTAATGAGTGGCTCCGGAAGGGCACAGGCTGGGGCTAAACTTAGCCTATAGCTGAACCCTTCACATGACTATGGACACCTACTACACAAAGACATGCTAATAAGACCGAGAAACTTAGGAAGTTTGCTTGGTACATAGAAACAGACACAGAAAGGCAGCCAAAATGGGGATACGAAGAAGCAGAAACCATATGAGAGAACTGAACAGAGATCCAGGAATAATGGAGTCAAGCAATCTAATATATGTAGAGTTTAAAACACTGGTTATAAAGATGCTCAGTGAATTTATGGGAAGTGTAGATAAATTCAGTGAGAACTTCAACAAAGAGATAGAAAAACATAAAAATGAAAATGGAAATTATATAAGGGAACCAGTCAGAAATGAAAAACATTATCTGAGATGAAGAGTAAATTAGATGGAAAAAATAGAGTGGATAAAGAAGAAGATTGAACCACCAAAATAGAAGATGGGGAAGCCAAGGACACTCAGTCAGAATGGCAAGAAAAAGAAGCCAAGACTATAATAATAATTTAAGGAGCCTATGGGACACCATTAAATGTAAAATATCTGTGTCATAGGGGTACTGAAAGGAAAAAAAGAATTCAAAAAGTTTTTTGAAGACATAATGATGGAAAACTTCCCTAACCTGTTGAAGGAAATAGACATACAACCCAGGATGCTCAGAGAGTCCTCCCAAACCAGGAACCCAAAGAGGCCCACACCAAGACATCATAATTAAAATGCCAAAGGTTAAATACAAAGAGAGAATCTTAAAAGCAG